ATTATTATATATATATATATATATATATATATATATATATATATATATATATATATTATATATAAAATGATATATTGATATTTCATTGATAATTATAGTTAGGGAATTGTATACAGCTAGTTTTGCTACATACAGATTAAACAATATTTCTGTTTATACAGTCGTGAAGTAAATCAACGACTTAGAGAAAACCGCGGGTTTATTGTAGGAGATTGTACCGGAACGAAATCTCGTGAAATATAACCGTAGGCGGAGGTTTCGGTGGTGGGCCGCGAGGGAGGATAAAGGAAAGAGGGTGGGGGTTGTTTATTTTATTCTTGAACTGTCTGAACATGATATATTTGTGGTATTCCGCCCTCTCCAATGATTTATGCTGGTCTGAAACTACGTAAACGAACACCTCCTACTACAATTCCTTTTTTTCCTTTTTCAACATTTTGCTTTATTTTCCTTCTCTCATTTCGTTTTTATCGCTGCATTCCTCTCTTCTGAGTAACCTAATAGTATGATAGTTAAGTATTTTTAATTCATAGCTAATTAAGTTTCCTATTTTGATAAATCTGTTGAAGTCTTATATCTGAAAGAAATTCTTTTAAATCTTCCTTAAAATTTTTATAGTTTGTAATTATTATTTATCCGTAACTATTAAATTAAAATTAAAAGGACCGAAACAGAGAAAGATATTTTTACAAGATAGTTGAATACATTGTATTTGCGAATTTATATGTTATATTGCGATGATCATAGAAGAGAGATAAGTATTTATTTTTTTATGATAAATATTTTTAATATTATCTCTTTTCTTGAAAGCGTTTTTCATAAAATTGAACGGCACTGCGATTTATTCGGAATAAAGAAAATAAATTTGAGACGCGAAGAAGACGTAAGAGAAAAGAAAATGCCAGAAAGAGAACGGGAGAAGGAAAAAAAACCAGAAGGGTTGTGAAGGATAAAAGACAAGAGTGAATGGTATTGAAGAAGGAGAGAGATTCCAATCAGGATCGGCATATATATGACCCTTCTTGTCTCGATATTTGAGAAGAGAGCCTGCAGGGCTGACGGGTATAACCACACGTAGCTGTATTTTATTATCGATGGCATCAGGGATGCTTGTGAATCTTTCCTCGCGTTAAACGGTCAACCCTATGAACGCTTATTGATATTGCAAATATTACAGCATAAAATATTGATGTTGCTACATACACCACAGTTTCTTATGTTTACATCCGCAGTTTTATCCTATATCCGATTTATTTTCTTCTTGTTTTATATTTATTTTCATTATTCGGTCATTGTACGTCATGTGAAACAAACATATATTTTGTTGTTATAATTTTATCGATTATTTCCCATCATTATTATTATTTCCCATCATTTTTTTGATACCGACACGATATTTGTACACGAGCGCTGGTTATGCGAATGTGAATTAGTGTTAATTCACCTTTGTTACACGGGTATCTCCTCATTTGCAGGAGACTTAATTAATTCAGTTATCTGCCTCGAGGAAGCCTCGAATTCCACCTGCGTTACGAGTGTCGCGGGATTGTATTTGAGAATACGTGTTGCGCATAATCAAGACGCGAGCGCGCACTGTGTATATTTGGTGTTTCAGCAATGGGGTATAACACTGCGGATTCCTATTTTCCTTCGGAACAATTCGAGACCTGAAGACAACTAGAAACGTTTTCTGCGATAAACAACATTCACGTGTTCTGCATTAATGACCGCTTTTTCCGTTTTCTTTTTCTTAGATTTCTTCGAAAAATTATTTTTTTAGAGCATTAAATGATTGTTTCACTTTTAAAAACTTTTACACTCACTCTTTTTAATTCAGAAGTATATAATTTTTTTATATATGAAAGACACTTTTGATAAGAAAACTTTATCAAAGGACGTGGAAATTTGTTGGAAGAGTTTGTTAGAAGAGTACATATAAGTAATTACATTAAATTATCGCAAAAGCTTTTTCTTATAATACCCGCCAACAGTTTAGAGAAGTAATTAAGAAAGTTAGGCAATAGCCTTCTCATTTTCATAATCACCGCACAAAATGGTATAAATTAACAGTAAATGTAAATCAACGATGTTTTTACGCGGTGCAGGGTGTATTGCGACCGTCGTGAAATACCGTTCGTATATTTCATCAGGCTAGAGGCATAAGACTCACGAAAATATGCTTGCATTAGCGTTTCCCAGAATTACGGTTCATGTCTGTTTCTTCTCTACGTTCTCATTCCACATTTACAGCCGGCATTTGCATAATTGCTCTTTCTAAAAGCGATAAGAATTTTTTTAATGAAAAATTATGTAGGAATTGTATGTGTGTTTTGTTTATCTATACACTGTGTTGAAAAACTTGAAGTTTTTAAAGAATTTTATTATTTTAAACAAATCGATCTATTAAGCCGGGATAAATTTTTAAAACACAGAATGTAACACATGCCTTGACAGGCAGGAACTAAGCATTTAATTCTTTTTTTGAATTTAATATAAAAAAAGGTTAATTATCTTGAATTTATATATATATATATATATAAATTCAAAAAACAAATTATTAGACGCTTAATTTTCTGTCTACCAAGTAATGCCATCTGTTACATTCTGCTATTTATTATTTTGTTTATTTTTATTGAGTCATCCTGTAATGACGAAAATTGCAAAGCTGTTGCTAACTCATACATTATTATCCGACATTTATAATAATTTTTGTTCTACGGTAATAGCTGGCGAATGTTGTTGCGATCTTATTTTATTCCATTGCAGAAGTTTTCGAAAGGAAACCTTTTTTTTCTCGCGTTGCATCGCCGAGTGTACTTTTCACGAAGAAATAAAATTTCAACGATCACGTACGTATGTACCAGACAAGAAAGGCAGACTTTCGCGTTCGGCACGTGCGCGAAATTCCGACAAGTCGATCCGACAATACCGGCGAGGACGGCTGAGGAGGGAATGGGAAGGACGAGGGGAATTTTTGCGATCGCGCTATCATCCTGTCTGCTTCGTTGAAGGATCGGACTAATCGAAATACCGGACGTCTTTGGAGTCCTGCTATGTGTGCAGGTACTCTCTGCGTGTGTAGCAACCCTTCGTTGCTATCGTTAAAATCGGACTAGTCATCCTTATGGCTTCCGCTGTTCATTTCGGTGATATTCAAGGAAAAATATCGAGATGATCGTTTGCGGCTGTAAAACTTCAATATCGAGTCTTCTCTCTTTTCTTATGATTATGCGATTGAAAGGAGGATAATCTGGGTGAAAAATATTTATCCGTGAGTTTTTTTTCTTCATTCACATTATGTTGGGCAGATTTTTAATAATGTTCGTATCACGATGAAAAGTTGATCGTTGAGTCGGTCGTTGTCGATGATACGCACTGTGTGCATCTCGGCAATGAGAATCCGCTTTGGAGAAAGTCTGTCTCTCATGATTTTGTATAACTCAACATATTCGACATGATGTTCCTACTGAAACTATTCTGTTTTATATACGAGTGCAATCAGAACATACTGTATGTGCTGTATGATCGAATTTGATTGTGCTCGTTACGCTAGTATCGTCGAATAAATGTCTGAAATAAATCGTAGACGATCTATGCCGCACGAATTCGATTGAGTATATTATCGATAATAATTAACGCTTCGATTGGTTACAGGAATTCCTATTCGTTTTCAGCACTCATACATCGTATCGATAGTATCCCGTCGAAGCGTAGATAATTGCTCGATTTAATAGAACGAATTTTCGATTTCTTTTGTTAGTCATTTATTTCGGCAGTCGCATTCGCGACGGGAAAGCCTTCCTTGAGGAATAACGAGGCCGCAAGGGATAAAGATACGAGTGATACAATTCGATAGCTCTTTATTCCATCATGCGAATAATGCATTCAATTGAATCGGTAGTCTTTGCGCCGATGTGCCGTCTTATATATAGAGAAAAAGTGGTTCGTTTCGGAATGGGAGATGCGATGCTCCGCGGGGGGTTGAAATCGGAGGAGGAGTGTCTATAGCTCCGTGACCCCTATTACAAATCCAATACCCACCTAGTATACGTCTCCTTCTTTTGCTTCCTATCTCTCTTCCTCTTTCTGATCCATCTCGACGTTACCGCCTATAGCCGCATTCTGGCTGCGACGCTGCTATAAAACATATTCGCTGACAGCGACAATATTCCCCTTGGTGCTGCAGACTCGATAGAAGTAACGTTCTCGGGCCACATATTCACGCAGAAAACGCCTACTCTATTCGCACGAGAACGATCGAGCCGACATTTGATCGTCTGCAAGCATA